AGGTAGACAGAGAGGTCGAATCAGTGATGATAGCCACAACACCCTCAAGCAGAGATGTGAAGACTCGCAAGAGGAAGAGAGAAGTGGAGGGATTGGGTAGTCCTTCAGTGGATGCTGTTTCGGAAGGAAACTTGAGAGAGACGGCGCCCATGGTTTTGGCTCGATGCAAGACGGCGGCATACAAGAGCAGCTCGGAGCTCAGAAGACCACTCGAAGTAGAGAGGGAAATAGAGGCTTCCACCAGTTCGACATCGGAGGAAGACTTCAAGCCTCAGAAGATAAACGTGAAGAGAGGTTCAACGAACGGACAGACATGGGAAGTGGATGTCGGCAAAGAATGGATCTCGAAGGCACACCAGGCCACGGGCAAGCAAGTGACGAGTGATCCACTGGAGAGGAACAAGACGAGAAACACCTCCCGGACGTGGTGGGTGGCCCTCGAGACATTGAAGGAAATGGAGGACTGCTTGAAGAAGTTGGACAGTGGAGTAGCTCGCAAGCGACGCAATTGGGCCACCCAGCAAAAGGCCGAGGTTAACAAGATAGAAATGGCGAATCAGCTGAAGAGGTCCTGGCAGAACTTGTTGAAGGATCATTTTGAAGAGGCAATGAGGACACCCTCATCAGCACCGCCATTGATGGCGAATCCCTTCGTTAGAACTGCAGGACAATTAATGTTCACCTGGAATCTGGTGGGAATAGAGTTGGAGACATTGACCTCGTATGACAGGCTGAAGTTGGGAAGCAAGAAGCTAGATGTGTATCAAGCACTGATGCAACACGTGGCCAGGGACAATTCAGGCTTGAGCCTGACTAGGAGAAAGGATGCCACATGTTTCGTGGGATGGAAAATGTCAATGATGTCTGATAGCATCATCTTGGCATGCCACCAGAGAGCAAGCGGAAGTAAAACCATGGAAAAAAGAGTCTCAACGATCATCTTGAACGTGTATCAAAGTACAGGAATAGAAAAGGAAGATGGTTCCAGACTATCCCTAGAGAACCAAAGAAAGCTAGACGAGGTACGGAGGTTTTATAATAAGAAGTTCGAAGAAGAGCATGATGTTCACCGTAACCTGGCCTCGTCAGAGCAGTACTCGAGACTCAGCGAGAAGGGGGAATACCAATACGTGTCGGGAGTGATGGGAATAGCCTACAACCCCTTCTTAGACTCAGAAACTGGAGGCGCTCACAGGAACCACGAGGTAGCGGAGCTACTGAAGTTTTGGACAGAAAGAATAGTGGAAATAGACGCGGTGGAGAAAGAGGGGCCGAGCCTGGGCCTGATTCTTGAGAAAACACCAGAGGTGGTGAGCATACCGCGCTCGAACAAGAGAATTGAAGTGAACATGGGTGATGGAAATGGCTTGTTAATCACGAACTTGGGAGTGGTATGGAAGCTACTAAGACCCTCCTGGTGCCCACATCCCCACGCGAGTCTGATCGAGGAAACCACCGAGCGAGTGAGGTTAGCACCAACGGAAGATGAAGATTTGGCAAAGTTGAGGGTGTTGCACAAGCTAATCTCACCTCAGATGCAGGAGTCAGGCGAAAAAACGAACAAGCTCGGGTCAGTAAAGAAGATGGAGCCGGATAGCTGTCTGGATTCGACGTGTGGGAACGGAGAGCACACCTGCGATGGACGGTCATCTGTCAGGATACTGTCCTTTCAAAAAGAAGACCTGGTCACTTGGTTTGAAGACATCACGGAAAGGGAGAAAAGTGAAGTGCAAATAAGTGCGGAGTGTTACGCGAGAACTAAGGTGAATATAGCGACAGCTCTCGCATTCTTCTCGAGAATGTGTAGTCTGCAGTCACTGGAGAGGCTAGAGTCTGAACGCCATTTAGTGACGGCGTTGAGCGTAGAATCATGGCCTGGGGTGTTGCAGGTGACTCAAAAACACATCCGGAGGTGGAAGGTTGGTCTCGAGGCGGAAATGGGGTTTCCCATGAGCGAAGCTTATGGCCTGCCATTGAACGCAAAATCCCTGATAGGGTCAATGATGGCCAATTTGTGCGGAAGCCACTATCCACTGCACATGGCGATGGTGGAAGCATCCAGCCAGAGAATACTGGTAGACAAGGCCTTCTAGGTGCCCAAGTGCGTGAGGTTGGCTCGGGTATCGCATCACTCGCATAAGTTGTTGAGGAAAATCAGAGGGACAGTGTCGAGAGAGTTGAGAGATGACTTGAGTGAAGTCTGGGGAGAAGAACTTTTGAAGTTGGAAAGTGAGAACACGAGCGATCACGACAGACAAAACGTGATCGGAAAACCTGTGGGGGGTGCTCCAAACATGGAAGAGAATGACACCATGCATGAGAAAATGATGGAGCTTGAGCCTCTCTTGGAAGCCTCGGGGGAGCGTAACCTCAGGAGCATTGAGATCACCCACGGAGAATGCCCATGCCACTGTTTGGCACAAACGGTGTGGTATCCAGATCACAAGAACCTTTGCCTGGTGTGGGATATGGAAGAAGTTCGGTCGATCGGATTACCGGATCACCGGCAGAAGGTGACGCTCTTAGTAGTGAGTACGATGCTGGCTCTGAGATGGATAGAAGAGAATATATCGAAGTATTGTTAAGCGACGAAGCCAACGGCTGAGTCAATACATGCGATAGACTACAGCAGGAGACTCGAGTTGTTTGAGACTGCGTGCAAAGTATTCGCTATACCAACGGAGGTCAGGCACGTATGGAGCCGCTTGAGGTACTTTCCATGGTTTCGAGCGACACTGACGTCTTGGTTGTACATGACAACGAAAGATCACATGAGAAAGTATCAAAAGGAGTATCGACAGTTCCAGGCCGAGATCGTGCCGGAAGCTTTCAAGAGACCCCTGTTAACCCATCGAAATGCGTTCACGACAGGATGGAAGAGAGTGGGTAAAATGTCTGGAGACAACACCAAAGCGAGGGAATCAATACTAGAGGAAGACTTGGCGAAGAACGTGAGCTTGAGCCTGCACAACTCCTTTTGTTTGAACCGGGAATCTAGAGTGAAGGCGCTACCCAACCAGGCAAAGAGGTTGCAGGAGCAAAGAGAATGGATGCGATCCTATGAACAGCTGAAGGCTTGGGAGGAGATCGTGATTAGCTCCGATGATGAAGAAGAACTGTTGAGACAGTTTGCCGTATCTAGTACTTCAGGGTGCGGCACCTCCAAGGCGAAGAGTGCGAGATGAGTGGATGGTTCGAATGGATCTTGAGTCTTGAGAGGGAAGAGGGGCTTGAGTGTGGATCCGGGTGAAACCTGGGTTCACGAAAAAGAAATTTTAACGAATCAGATATTGCTATTAATATACTATATTTACTATATAAATCAAAATGCTGCATGACAATTTCCTGATTGAATGGGACAAAAGAAATTTTAAATAATTGGCTTGAAAAGCGAGAATTCAAGGGTGCAGGTGTGTGCAGATTTTGATTGCTGTTTAGCGATAAGGTGAAAATTTTACATGGCCGTGAATTTTGGGGTGTAGATAAGCTTAAGTCTGCTGCAAATTTCTGTAAATGACCACTGGCACTGTATCTTGAGTGACACTCGGGTTTCTGGGGATTCACTGACAGAAACAGCACGCGATGAGGACATCGATCTTGAGTCCGGGGAGTATGTGCCAGTCGGTCATATTTGGAAGTTTGACCTTGAGAGAAGCAAAAAACACTTGATTTTGGAGTGAAATTTAATTTTTCAAAAATTCGAATGGAGCCTGTCATGCACGATTTTCTCGCGATAACTGAAAACAGAAAAAGAGAAGTCAGAACAATCGAGTGAAAATCGCGGGAAAGTTGCAAGATAAATCAGTAGGAAATTTCTATTCGCAATTTCCGAGACAATAATAATCTAGAGTAGAGCTGTCCTATTTGAAATAGAAGACAGAGTGTTCCTGAGAACTGGACAAGTATCCAACTGGTCAACTATTCGAACTGGACCAGAGTGAACCTTCGGTGGAAAGGTGGACAGCTTGAGTGTCCCAATGGTTCACATAAAACTACATTCTAGAGTACAAACTTGTTCCTGTTGTTGAAACTGACAAACATTAAACTCATTTAGTTACATTGTTTAATTCTTGAGTTGCTTACCGACTTAATTACTCCCAATTCTTGAGCGTGCTACAATGTGAGATCCAATTTAAACTTCTAGAGTGTGTTTTATAATTGTTATGTTGAGGTAAGGCGAGTTTTAGGTTGATCCATCTGAAATGGATCAAAGTTCCACTGTCTAATAAACAGTAACTTAACGGATTGTTCCGACCCGGTTTTTAACGGCGTTCATGTATTTTGGGTATCTAGAGACCTAAGTATGGGGACGTTATTATTTCTAGAGTGGGGGGGGATATTTTGGTAGTAGCCTTTAAGCGGTAACGGGTCGTAGTCTCATGTCACAAGCGAACCGAATTGGCTCCGACTGATTTGAGGTGGAAAAACACAAGAGACAGTGTCCCTGACTCTTGAGCCAATGGTTATAGGGCCTATTTTTCTTAAGCCTCATGTGTGACTGCAGTAGACGAATGTTACAGTATTTTTGTGTCCCTCAAGGTCAAACTTCCAGATATGACCGACTGGCACGTAGTAGTAGTAGTAGTAAGAGTAGTAGTAGTAGTAGTAGTAGTAGATACATTCTGGTCGAATGTCACGAAAAAATGATTTGGATGATTGAGGTCTACGTTTCGTCATTGTTTTTGGTTTCTCTTTTTGGTTGTTTCAGATGAACAAATAACATTTTCTGGACAATGACATACGATTGGGTTGTAGTATTTCATTTTTCCATGGCTTGGTTCTCGTGCTGTTTTGTTCTTATTTTAACTTGTGAGCGGTGGAACTGTGTTTTTTGGTTTCGTGGGAAATTGGCTTCTATTCAGTTATCCTGAGCATTCTCAAAAAATGCGATGCAGCTCTATGCATCTGCTAAAGACCATGTATGTGTAGTGGCATTTTTTAGAACTCCGTTTCTCGTCTGATGGTGGTCTGGGTTAAAAAATAATAATTCTGAAAATTTCAGATGTAATGTTCTTTATCGTGATCAATTGAATTTTCCAACATAACTTTATGGCAAATATAGAATACGAAACCAATTTGAAGCCACTTTCAAACAACTTTGAGGTACGTATCATTAAAATAACAGTTACTCAGATTCTTAAGCAGTTTTATGCGATTCAATTTTTCAGGCTTAAAACAGGCCGATGGTAAAGATTCTGAGTTTGAAACATTTTCTATGCTCTCTGATATTTGATACCAGCGACAGGACATTAGGACGACAAGACTTTGAGACGAAAAATAAAAGTTTTTACATGTAAAATGAGTAGTTTGAGTTAAAGTGGTTTATATTTCTCAGAAATACAATGTGGAGAATTGCGTGTCGCGTTGTCTTAAAGTCTTATCAAAAACGGTTGTCGTCCTATTTGCCGGTCACCAATGAGATGTTTATTCAAACGACTAGTCTATGTTATTAGAATTCATTTTTTGGCTCATTGATTTTTCGGCGGATTACTCATTACGCTTGCGTTTAGCAAGCGTTATCAAACCGGAATATAGATTTTTTCGGATTAAGAACTTGTTTAACAACTTGTTTTCGGATAAATCACGTGTATGTTGGTTCTCAATGAATTCAACTTCATGCGTGTCCGACACTTAACCCGGAGGTGAAAAATACTCCATGGACGGCAAAGGTCGTGGGCTCAAATCTGACCAGGAACTTTTTTCAAACTGGATTTATTCCTTTCCAAAAAAAGGCCTAGTCACCATATCGTAGAGTTGATTTTTATACTCAATTTTCTTTGTAGTTGCTCAGTGTTTTAAATTACTCCTGCATTTTTTAAATTTTACTAGCCTTGACTTCACCTCTGTCAACATTGCTATCGAGATAAAAACAAATCTTGAAATAGCGAGCAAGTCAAGTGCATTTTTTACATAGGCATAATAGTGGACACTCATGAGAATAGGCCGGTCACCGTGTAACGCATTTTTTTGAACCATAATTCATTTATTTTTAGAAAAAGGAGACGAGCAAACCAGTTCCTAACCATAAAGGAGCACCTACAGATGATGTTTTTGAGAACCAGAGAGATTCTCTGGTTCAGACTTTTCAAGGGTGGTCCGATCACCAGCAAGTTGACTTCGTTCAAACACTACTGCAATGCATGAATCAAATCCAACATGGCCAAATAGACCAGCACCTTCAGCCTTTATTACAACGGGATTTTATTTCCGCCTTGCCAGGTAATATTTCAACTAGAAAATTGATATGCTTTATTGTTCCGATCACTGAAAATGAGAAGGAACTTTGTCTTCGGGCTTAGCTAAGTTTTTGAAGTTGCTATTGTTATGCACTTACAGCAAGTTGAAGAGTTCATTAGTCAATTATTTTTCGATTTTTGATTTCATTCATCTTTCCAAGAAATCTTTTCGAATTTGCTATAACTAACGAACATAATTTGAACATAAAAATTGTCTATTGTTTTTAGGAGCTTATTCTGCTACTCACACAGCACCCGGCTAGCTATCCTTGATCATTTTGCTTTTCGAGTACACATTTTTCATTAAAAAATTGCTTGTTGACAGCAAGAGGTTTGCACCAAATTGCAGAAAACATATTGGCATATCTTGACTCTCATTCCCTGGCCAAAGCGGAAGTCGTCTGCCGGGAATGGCAGCGGGTGATAGCAGACGGGATGCTATGGCGGAAGCTAATCGAGCGCAATGTGCGCATGCACCCCCTATGGAGAGGACTAGCGAACAGGAGGAGATGGGTGACGGCACTGTTCAAGCACTCTCCAGACAGTGGCCGGACTCACCATCATTACAGAATACTCTATCCTACTATCATCAGAGATATCAGAGTAAGATCATTCATTATTTGTCCTTGCAAATGAAGGGATGACATGTACTTAACCTGAAAGGGAGAAACTCAGATATAAAAAATGCACAAAATTTATTTATTTATTTGAAGTTTGTAACCCAAACATGGGTAGATTCTCATTAGACATGTTGTCTCTTATCTATCCTCTTCATTTTGTGTATGTGTTCATTTTGATTGATGCTACAAATTGAAATATATTCACATTTATGGATTAAAAAAATGCTCATGAACGTTTTTTGTTTTGTATGCAGAACATAGAGGAGAACTGGAAGTATGGCTACTACAAGTCAAAGAAGATCTCGTGTCGCAGTGAACAGAGCAAAGGCGTGTACTGTCTGCAGTACGATGACGAGAAGATAGTGAGTGGGCTGAGGGATAACACTATCAAGGTGTGGCAGAGGGCAAACCTCGAGTGCACCAGGGTGCTACAAGGACACACGGGGTCAGTAGTACTTGTCATTGTTTTTGTTCTAACCCCCAAGAGGGTTGATGCCTCTCTAGTTTCTTCTCTGTCTTCATAGGAAAATTGAAAGCACAACCCGTGCCAGGCCAAATTGTACCAATTCGTAATCAGTGAGAACCCAACCTCCGCGCATTTTGAAAAAGCACACATTATATACATGACAGGCTTTTTTAACGTTTCGCTGTTTTTTGTCTTGTTTGATCTTTCAACCACATTACTTTCTGAACGTATAGATTTCGAAATGGTATATTGTCTGCTAGGCAAACAATCTAAATAGGGTCATAACAAAAGTCTTGTAGCCCTTTAGTTCTTCACAGCTAGACCCTTCGCTTCTGAACATGTAACATTGCAGGTCGGTGCTGTGCTTGCAATATGACGACCAGGTGATTATAACCGGCTCTTCTGACTCGACTGTGCGTGTGTGGGACGTACACAGTGGCGAGCTGGTCAACACCCTTATACACCACTGCGAGGCAGTGCTCCACCTCCGCTTCGACGACGGAATGATGGTCACATGCTCAAAGGTCAGTCACGAGGTTGAAAAAAAAACAGCTGAAGTATAAGCCAGCCGAAAATGAGCTGAGTATATAAATCAGCCGAAAGTAACGTCAATTATGAAGAAGTTTGCATGAATTTCGATTCTAATTCACAACTGTTTCATCAGTTTTTTGTAAGAGGTTCACATTTTCGGCTGGCTCATAACAAAGCAGTGTCCGTTCAAAATTACCCGGCAAATGATTGTGATGGTTCGAGTTGGAAAACCGCCTAGTCAATCAACTAAACTGCTCTTCACATAATAGAAAACAATATAATTACACTTGCGAAGCAAAGTGTTATTGTACTAAATTTCATTTTTCAACCTAAGTCGTAAATATCGTTGCGATTTTTGTTACCACTAAGTCGCAATTTTTGTTGCGACTTAAAGCAACAGTATTTGCTGCACCGAATTGGCCATATAAAATGATTGGCAATAAGTTGCAAGCTTACAGCTTATTGATAACATGTGCTTAGACATTCGGATAGGTATAATTTTATACAGTCGATGCATTTTTAATTCATCGAGTGAACCGAAAAACGAAGAAAGCTATTTGTTGGAAACAACATAAGAATAATAAAATCTCCATTTTGAAAGTTTTCTAAGTCAATTTATCTCGCAATTTTTTTGAAACGCTTAATAACACTCGCGAAGCAAAGTGATATAGTATGAACTTTCTTTTTTTTCCAATCTAAGTCGCAAATATTGTTGCGACTTAAAGAAATATTTTTTGCTGCATCAAATTGGCATGACAACCTATTTGTTGCACCTTTGCAGCTTATTGATAACATGTGCTTTGACATTCGAATAGTTATGAGTTTACACAGTTGATGCATTTTAATTCAAGTGAGCCGAAAAAAGCTATTTGGTTCAAACATCTTAACAATAATAAAATCTTTATCCTAGAAATTTTTTTTGAAACGCTTAATAACACTCGCGAAGCAAAGTGATATAGTATGAACTTTCTTTTTTTTCCAATCTAAGTCGCAAATATTGTTGCGACTTAAAGAAATATTTTTTGCTGCATCAAATTGGCATGACAACCTATTTGTTGCACCTTTGCAGCTTATTGATAACATGTGCTTTGACATTCGAATAGTTATGAGTTTACACAGTTGATGCATTTTAATTCAAGTGAGCCGAAAAAAGCTATTTGGTTCAAACATCTTAACAATAATAAAATCTTTATCCTAGAAATTTTCTAACTCAATTTATCGCAATTTTTTGAAAAGCAAAATTAAACGCGCAAAGCAAAGTGTTATAGTACGAACTTTCTTTTTTTTCCTATCTAAGTCGCAATTATTGTTCCGATTTGAAGCAACACTATTTGCTGCATCGAATTGGCATGACAGCTTACTTGTTGCACTTTTACAGCTTTTTGATGACTTGTGCTTGTGAACCGAAGGGAGATTTTTTTCAATCAACATAATTATAATAAAATCTCGATTTCAAAATTTTTCTAACTCAACATATTTTGCATTTTTTATGAGTTGCATAATTACACTTGCGAAGAAAAGTAATAGTATGAATTTTCTTTTTTTCGACTTGAGTCACAAATGCTGTTGCGACTTTTCTTGCGGCAAATATTTGCTGCATCGAATTGACATGACAGCTTATTTGTTGCACCTGTACAGCTTTTTGATAACATGTGCTTTGAGATTCAAATTGTTCTAAGTTTACACAGATGATGCAGTTTCAACTCATCAATTGAACCGAAGAAAGGTATTTGTTGCTCGATTTCAAAAATGTTCTACCTCAATATATCTTGCAGTTTTTTGAAGTGCGTATTAACACTAAAAGCAACAATTTTGCTGTATGGAACTGGCTTGACAGCTTATTACATGTGCTTTGACATTCGAATATTTATAACTTTTCACAGTTGATACATTTTAATTCATCAATTGAACCGAAGACAAACTATTTGTTTCAATCAACATAATAATAAAATCAGAAATTTTCTAATTCAATGCATCTCGCAATTTTTCATGTCTTATTTATGAGGCTTATTTCTACTTTTTTTAATGTCGTTTGATAGAGCTGCTTTTTGGTCATGTGCTAGCAACTGTTTGCGAAGCGCAGGTTCGCCTCTGTTGATAATCTGTGCTTTGAGATTCGAATATTCATAGACTTACACAGTTGTTGCATTTGTTTTTCATAAAGTGAACCGAAGAAAATTATTGGTTTCAAACAACATAACAATCATACAATCTCGATTTCAGAAGTTTTCTAACCCAATATTACTCGCAATTTTTTGAAATGCATAATTACACTTGCGAAGCAAGTGTTATAAAACGAACTTCCTTTTTTTCAATCTAAGTCGCAAATCTGGTTTGGAAATTTGTTGCGACGCAGAGGAATTTAGTGTTGAACTAAAAGCCACATCAATTGCAAAAAGATGTTTTAAAGATGAATTAGCAAAAAGATGTTTTGATATTTTGTTGCACCTTTGGTATGTTAATTCACATTTCCAGCTTTTTACACTTGCGAAGCAAAGCGTTATCGTACGAACTTCATTTTTCTCAACGTAGGTCGAAAATAATATTGCGACTAAGTAGCAAATATTGTTGCGACTAAAAGCAACATTTTTTGCTGCATCGAATTGGCATGACAGCTTATTTGTTACAACATCACAGCTTATTGATAACATGTGCTTTGACGTTCGAATAGTTTTATGTTTACACAGTTGATGCATTTTAATTCATCAAGTGAACCGAAGACAACTATTTGTTACAAACAACGTAACGATAATAAAATCTGGATTTCAGAAATTTTCTAACTCGTTACTTTTTTTAAAATGCATAATTTTTACATGTTTTTTTTGCGTTTTATTGCATGCAAATTTGTATCTTCATGCTACTTTTACTTGGGAATTTTAAGCATCCGTGGCTGAATGGTTAGGTCGCAGATATTTGCTAATTCGCGTTTTTGCTAAACCTTGGGTTTTTGCAATTTTGAGGCTTACATCTACTTTTTCTTATGTCAATTGATAGAGCTGTTTTTGGTCGTGTTCTAGCAACTGTTTACGAAACGCAGGTTCGCCTCTGTTGATATCATGTGCTTTGACGTTCGAATATTTATAAGCTTATACTGTTGATACATTTTTAACTCATCAAGTGAACCGAAGAAAACCATTTGTTTTAAACAACATAACAAAAGTACAATCTCGGTTTCAGAAGTTTTCTAATCCAAAGTTTCTCGCAATTTTTTGAAAAGCCGAATTTTTCATAATGTGGCTTTTTTTGCGATTTGTTGGAATTGTATCTTTTTGTATTTGATGCTCTTTTTGTTGCATCGAATTGGCAATTTATTAGCCTATGTAGCTTCGTTACTGGTGGCTAGTTTTTGGGAATTTAAGCATCCATGGCTGAATGGTTAGTGCGTGAGACTCAAATTTGCTAGGTCGCAGATATTTGCTAATTCGAACTTCTGCTAAGCCCTGGGTTTTTGCAGTTTTGAGGCTTACTTCTACTTTTTTTATGTCACTTGAAAGAGCTGCTTTTAAGTCGTGTTCTAGCAACTGTTTGCGAAGCGCAGTCTCGCCTCTGTTGATAACCTGTGCTTTGAGATTCGAATATTCATAAGCTTACACAGTTGATGCTTTTTTATTTCATCAAGGGAACCGAAGAAAAATTATTTGTTTGAAACAACATAGCAATCATACAATCTCGATTTCAGAAGTTTTCTAACCCAATATTTCTCGCAATTATTTGAAATGCATGATTACACTTGCCAAGCAAAGTGTTATAAAACGAATTTCCTTTTTTTCAATCTAAGTCGCAAATATGGTTTGGAAATTTGTTGCGACGCAGAGGAATTTAGTACTGAACTAAAAGCCATATCATTTGCAAAAAGATGTTTTAAAGATGAATTAGCAAAAAGATGTTTTGATATTTTGTTGCACCTTTGGTATGTTAATTCACATTTCCAGCTTTTTACACTTGCGAAGCAAAGTGTTATCGTACGAACTTCCTTTTTCTCAACTTAGGTGGAAAATAATATTGCGACTAAGTAGCAAATACTGTTGCGACTAAAAGCAACATTTTTTGCTGCATCGAATTGGCATGACAGCTTATTTGTTACAACATCACAGCTTATTGATAACATGTGCTTTGACGTTCGAATAGTTTTATGTTTACACAGTTGATGCATTTTAATTCATCAAGTGAACCGAAGACAACTATTTGTTACAAACAACGTAACAATTATAAAATCTGGATTTCAGAAATTTTCTAATTCGTTACATTTTTTAAAATGCATAATTTTTTTCTGTTTTTTTTGTGGTTTATTGCATGCAAAATTGTATCTTCATGCTACTTTTACTTGGGAATTTTAAGCATCCGTGGCTGAATGGTTAGGTCGCAGATATTTGATAATTCACGTTTTTGCTAAGCCTTGAGTTTTTGCAATTTTGAGGCTTACATCTACTTTTTCTTATGTCACTTGATAGAGCTGTTTTTGGTCGTGTTCTAGCAACTGTTTGCGAAGCGCAGTCTCGCCTCTGTTGATAACCTGTGCTTTGAGATTCGAATATTCATAAGCTTACACAGTTGATGCTTTTTTATTTTATCAAGGGAACCGAAGAAAAGTTATTTGTTTGAAACAATATAGCAATCATACAATCTCGATTTCAGAAGTTTTCTAACCCAATATTACTCGCAATTTTTTGAAATGCATAATTACACTTGCGAAGCAAAGTGTTATACAACGAACTTCCTTTTCTCAACTATTTTGCAATTTTTGTTTCGAAATTTGTTACGACGCAGAGGAATTAATGTTGAACTAAAAGCCACATTATTTGCTGCTTCGAATTAGCAAAAAGATGTTTTGCTATTTTGTTGCACCTTTGATCTGTTGTTTCACCTTTCCAGCTTCTTACACTTGCGAAGCAAAGTGTTATCGTACGAACTTCCTTTTTTTTCAACGTAAGTCGCAAATAATATTGCGACTTAGTAGCAAATTTTGTTGCGACTAGAAGCAACATTTTTTGCT